TTTCCCAGTGGCACAAGGCCTGACGGTTTTTCTTTTGTCACTTTGGGCACTGTAGCACAGAGCGCAAATCAAACTTGATTTTCCCCTTTGATACAGAACAACAAACAGTAATGAGCCACTTTCTTTGCCTGGAGGAGGGGACAGCAGGCTGTCAGTCATCTTTACAGCGCTCAACTCCAGGCTGTGCCTGCTGATGTGGAAAGGAAGGAAATGCAAGCCTGTGCCCAGGGCTGCTTCTGGGATGATATATTCCAAATTTGCTGACTTTTATTCAACTCCTATAGCATTTATTTCTACTATAATAGATACTAAGAATTTTTACCATCTTAATGTTTTCTTCAAAGGAGCTGAAAGTGTTTTTTAAACTTTAATGACAATACTTTCTTAACATAAGCAGTAATACCAATGTTCAAGTCACTGATGGGAAGACTGAGGTACAGGGATGTAATCAAAGTCCAGGGAATCCCTACATACCAGGCCTCATATATTATATCATCTTTCATCTTACTCTCCATAAGTCATTCTTGGCCTTAAAGAGAGTTGACACATGGTAGATGTGGTCTCTGCCTTGGAAGTTCTTTTTTTAGGAAAAGATTAAAAAAGATTAAAAAGTCCTCCTCTCCCTCTTCAGTCACTTAAGAAGTGGCTTAAGATTGCCCCAAAACAGAAACGTTGAATATTTCCAGAAAATTTTGAAAAAAAATAAATCAATCCTTATTTTGTGGCTAGGAAGTTAGTTGTGCAACAGACACTGAGAGCAAAGCTCTGAAAATGCAGCTTCAAAGTCAGGCAATTTAAAAGTGAATTTGGCAGAAATTGTGCCCCTTTGAAGTTTTTAAACCCACCAGATTTTAACCTGCTCTGTGCCCTTGGCATTTACTCAGTTGTATGAGATGCCTCTCATGTGTCTGGGGCGCTGGCTGGGGTTCCTAAGCTGCAAGTGGGCCCAACATGATGCAATTGGACTTATCACTTGACATATCTCCAGACCATGAAGGTGTTTTGAGTGAAAGCTTCCTAAATGACTCAGAAATGCTGAGGCAACCCGGGAGCCTACCTCACAAGCACATGCCTTCTCACTGTTTCTGAATGCACAGCCATGCTAAAGAAAATATGCTGAGCTTGGCATGCAAGTGTTCACTCACCCCCAGGCATGCAGATGAGCTTGCCTGCATTCAGAAAACTCTCAGGTACAAACACCCATCCGTAAGCAGATCGAACTTGCACAGTAAGACAGTCACATCAGCTCAGAAAGCATGTTCATATTTCTCAGTTACACAACAACCCATGTGCCTCCATCCACAACCGTTCACAACACAAATACATATGAAATACGTATGCTTACATACACACTCTCTTTCCCCCACACATGGATTTGTGCCTGTACACTCTCCCATGGATTTGTAGCCCACACACAGGCATCCAAACACACTCAGGAACATACAGTAAAACCAATGGAGTGCACAGACAAAGATCCACCCATGCACACTCACATATATCTTAACGAAGGTTTTGGTCTGGGAAACTCCTTTTCGAGAAACAAAAATAAATGTCAAAAGGAAAAAAAACAAAACAAAACACCAAAAACAGAGCATGGGGAACTGCACAAATAAAAGCAAGCTCATACCTACACACACACTGTGGAGGCTGACAACCAGTGTTCCACCCCTGCCCCCCAGCTACAGCTGTGGCAGCTCAGCACCTGCTGGGTTTGCTTCCCCTGAATGCAAATGTCAGATGAACTTCACAGCAAGTTCAGGCTTATGTATCTGTGACCTGTGCCAGGAGTCTCCATCTTCCCTAACTGACCACAATGAAAACTGTCCCTTCCCTCCAAGAGCAGCACCTCCCAAGACCCTACCACAAACACTCTTCAGCTTCTAAAGGAGCTGGGCAGAAACATTTTACCTGCGTCTGACCAGTCTAAACATCTCCTATTAGTGGAGCTGATTGGCATTTTAGGGTTTATTGTTTCTTTCCTTTTCAGACTCCAGGTCTCTTGGAACAAGACAAGACAGTGTACGGAAACACACGGCAGGGTTTGCTCAAACCCACAAACAGCAAGAAAGCAACAAGCTCCTGAGGAGATGGGAGAAGTGTGTCTGATAAACTGCCTCACACTGCTTGGGAAGGTGACACCCGTCCGTCCAAGATGGGCTGCTACTTCCAAGAGCCCATTTTCTACAGATGTAACATATCAAGTGCTGCTAGCAGGAAGGGAATCTGACAGGACAAACCAACATACAAAACATTCTCTTATTCAATAAGGGTTACAAGTGCAAAGGGATTTCAGAACATTTCAGAACAAACTCCATCCATAGCTGCTGCTTATTTATCAGTGCATCAAAAGATTGTGCAAGTTTTTAGTAACAAACATTAGAAACTAGTAGCAAAGGACTTGCCTAGATAAAAAGAGAAGATTTAAACATGCCAGGTAACAAAAAGACGTGTGCAGAGATCTGTAAAACTGTATAGAAGGAAAGGATTCTTTAGAGGAAACAGGGGGAACCATATACAATGCTCTTCATAGCCCTTACTAAAAGAGTCAGGGCCACCCCTGCTGCCTCCTCAACTAAGACAGGAGATGGTTGGTTGGACAGACACACGTCCTTATTTTTCAATGACTTCTCTAACCAAAAACTGGATTCTGGGCCTTGGCTGAGATAAACTTGAATTTAGATAGGGAATGGAAAAGGGAGGGAGCTTTGTCAGTGGCAATTAAGCACACCACAATGGACAGCCCTGGAGACTGAAGATCAGAACAATCAGGAGCAGCATGACCGTCTCGACAAGATGCTGAGAATGAATATGATTTATACTGCTCAAATTTAGTGTCTGAGAGCTGGGTGTCTAGACAAACCTAACAAATCTAGACACTCACCAGTCACTGGATGGGCACCTCCAAAGAGCAATTAATTTCCCCTGTCACAGACATGTAAGGGGAGGCACCAGTGGGTCTGAGGAGAGCTGCATCTCTCCCCACCAACAGCAAGAGGACTGTCCTTCTCTCACAGCGTGGAAGTTTAATGGGATGCATATCAAAGTGTCCTAACCCATGATGTAAAAAGTTCTTTAATTCATAGGGAATTATTGTGAATTTATTCAAAAGGATAAATGGATTTTCCCTGGATTTCTGCTCTATGATAGACCTCCATTTATTTATCAAAACGCAAGGATTTCCTTCCTTTCTGCTTGGAAGACTTTTGTATGGATTCAAATATATCAGTCAGGGAAGTCTTGTTGATATTTAGTATGATTCATCTCCAGCTAACTGTACTTATTTCCTCCATTACCGTGTACAGTTCTGTCTCTATGGATGAGAACTGAAATTTCCACAACCTGAAGGCTATTGCCAGGTTCCCTATTTAGTTTTCTTGTGACATGCGTGGCAGAAAAAAGGCTTTAATTTCATTCTTAAAAATTAACAACTTCAACCAGCTGATAATTGTAACTTTTCTCTACAGAGTCAGCCTGTATCCTAATATCTATCCAGTAAAAGGGTAACCAAAATAGTTTACAACATTCTGTGGGAAATGTTGTAAACAACTTTTTGTGTCCAGAAAGCAGGACATTTAAGAGATATGAAATAAAAGTTCCTTTTCAGTTAGAAACTATTTTCCATTCTCTCAAAAAACAAGGAAAATAAACTAGTTTCAAAAAAAAAAATTATTTATTCTAAATCGAAATGTTACAGCTTGAATAAGTGTCCCTGCTTCAAAATTAAAGAAAAAAAAAAGAAAAAAGAAGTTGAACAAAAATTAATCTAGAACCAAGATATGAAAATATTTTATTTGGAAGTTTTTTCAAAGTGTTGCCTACATTTTTTCTCTAAACACAGCACTGAGTGAAAACTATGCTGTCACTTTTCTGCTTGCAATAGATTGCCTCTACAGTACACAACAATTCCAAGTTGTAATATTTATTCAGCAGCCACATAATTTTGAAAATTCATGACTAATTTGCTCTCCTCTAACATTTTTTACAGCAATTTTCCTTCAATATTTCTATTTGCCTGGCCTTTATAAGCTGGATATTTGAGTGCAATTTTTGTCTGTGCTCGTAAATCCATCATAGTCTTTCTTTTGGGAATCTCTGCGTTTCCTGCCTGTCCTTTGTCTATTTATCCTATAATTCTGTATCCATCCACCTCCAAGAAAATAGACAGAGGGAAACATTTGGCTGATGTGATTTATGTCTTGAACATCAGATGCTTATTTCAGTCTCCGTGGCTCACTCAATCCTTCACCTGTCTGCTGAGATGAGCACCAGTGGGGCCAATCAGTGTCAATTGTGCCAGTGGAATTTGAGAGATGGAGCAAATCAGGTTGCAAATCCCAAAAAAATGGGTTGGAACTCTAGCGCTTTATTTTTCTTTGGTATTTTGGCTTTGTTTTTATTTTATCTACCATTTTTTTTTTCAAATTAGAAACTGAACATCAGGAGAAGGTTCCTCTAAACAGAGGTGATTTGGTCTTTACTTCTTTTGGAGGAAGCCTGAGTGAGGAGGCACAGGGAGTATTCCTGGTTTGGTTCCCGCAGTTCCACCTCGAAAGAACTGACCTTTATCTCTCTGTGGGGTGGAGAGTATTGAACTGCCATGGGAAGCAAAGCATAACACTGGGTAGACCAAAGTGCTGGCCTGGGACTATTCTAGCAGCTTCCCATGGCACAAATAGCCTTTTCACTTACACTCCACGTTTCCCATCACTTTTCCTGCTATACAGTTTAATTCATGCCAGGCGGATTATGAAGGGAAGAAAATGATGCAACAGTCAAAAAAGTCCTTTAAGTCGTTCCAAAAATTAAAACAGAACCAAACAAAACGAAACAAAAAAAAAATATAAAAAATAAAGAGCTTCAAAACTAAACAAAAAGTTCTGAAAATAAACTCAAAAGAAAAGAGAAAGGGGGAGGGTAAAAAAAAATAAAATAAAAAGAACCCGGGAAAGGCAAATGAATGTTAGAGCAGGCACGATCATGGACAGACGCCAGCTACTTACGTTCACCTCGGTGATTGCTATATCAACAATGCTACCCACAACAATCAAGGCGTCAAATGTATTCCATGCATCACAGAAATAGTGCTGCATGTGGCAGAGAAGCCAAGGAGAGAGAGAGAGAGAGAGAGAGAGAGAGAGAGAGAGGAAGGAAGAAGAAGAAAGAATGAGAGAGAGAGAGGAGGGAGAGAAAGAGGGAAAGGGAGAAAAGAGGGGAAAAAAAGTAAAAAGTAAAATAAAATAAAATAAAAAAAAAACGAAACGAAACAAAACAAAAGCATGAAAGAGGGAGAGAAGAGGAAAAAAATAAGAAAAGAAAGAGGTTACGTGGGCATATTAAATAGTCTCTTACCACTCTACAGTATTGGTTGCTCAAACCTCTGTAACATTTCACATGATGGAGGGTATCAACAAAAGCCTGGTTAGTCAGAAAGTTACACTCAAACATGTCTACCTTTTGGAGGGAAAAAAAGCACACACACCCCAAACTCTGTGCGCTTTCACCAGTCACAGCCTTGGGGTGAGCTATGACAAGTGAAAAAGAAGGAGGCATTTCCCCCCCTCCTTTTTTTTTCCCTGGGAGAAGGAGAAGGACGACGGCAAGTTCAATAAAAGCATGACTAGAGGGAAAAAAAACAGAAAACAAAAAGAGAGAGGAAAAAAAGAGAGAAAGAGAGAAGGAACAGCAGAGGAGGAGGAGGTGGTGGTATCCTGGGGAGGGTAGAGTAATACTCACATTAGTTTCACTGAGAATGACGTCTATAATGCTGCCAATTACGATGAGGAAGTCAAAAACATTCCAAGGATCACTAAAGTAACCCTACATAAGGAAGGGGCAGGCAGGATGGGGATTAAAAAGGAATGTTAGACAGACAAAAACAGTTAAAAATTACCATTAGAATTACTGCCCTGAGACCTCAAGGGGTTTTCCTCTCAAGTCTACTTGTTGCGTCTCAAGCTGTAGCCCAGGCCTGGGTTCCCTGACTTGAGTGAGCAGCCCCCATCCAGCTAATGTGATGCCAGGGCAGTCACCCCTCCCCTCTGACTCTGAGACAGGAGCTGAAGGGAAGTCACAGAGATCATTTTGAGCATGGCTGCTCATAGGAGCCAGGCTTGCAGGACCAGCTCCTCCAGATATCTCGGTTTCTAACAACACAGCACCCTTCCCCATTTGACTTAGATTCAGCTGGGGGAGAGTACAGGAATGGTGCCATATGGTTCTCTCAAAAAATGGATCCCCTTATGCCAGTGTGAGTATCAATCCACCAGTCCACGTTCCAGATGTAAGGCTCTGTCCACAGGGAACAGCTGGCTGCTGTGTCACGGTGGAGGAGAGGGCACAGTCGAGCTGGGAATGTGTTATTTAAATCTCACCATAATGTGTATTATGACAATCATTAGCCTAATGTTTTCTATTACTAATGCTTTAGCTCTTGTCTTAAGAATACAGAGCAGGACTGGTATTTCTGTTACTCTGAAAGCACGTCTGCACCACAAAATGAGGGTGTGAATGTAGCCTGGCACATCCCAGCAGAAAGGGGTAAGAATGGGAGCAAAGCCGGCTTTAGCATGTGCTCAGAGAGAGAGACCTGTTGGTCCCTCATGTCAAAGATAGTGCTCCAGAAACACTGTCACATTAGCTGCCCAGGACAAGCTACAGCAGATCACTCCAGGGGCTATCTTAAACATCCCATTGTCCTAAGCAGAGCTCAGGAGATGCTAATCAGCACTGCTTACTATCCCCATCTTGCATAATTTTTGGCTGGATAGGCTGTAAGGATACAGGATTCTTTTGAAAAAGGTTCTGTTCAGCCCAAAGATGAACTTCTGTATGTAAACTTCCTGTACAATGTCACAAGCAAAGAAAATTTGTCTTCGCTCACTGAACACCTGTGCCAATCTCTTCCCCTTGTTCTGAAGTCTTTAAAGGAGGCAAACATACAGAATCCTCCATGGTCCTTTGGATTTGTGTTTGGTTTTGTTAGCATGGGCTAATCTGACCTCCCTGTTTCCCAGCTGCAGCATGTCTCCAGTGAGACTGAACCCGAGCTGCACTGTGACTACTATTCTTAGTCAAAGAGTCAGGTCATGGGTAAAGTGTGAGTCTGTGTTCCCAGGCAGTCTTGCAGAAAGCAAAATGGAGAAAAGAAAAAGAAAATTAAGAAAGAAGGAAAAAAAATTATCTCAGTACTGGCACTGTACAAAGTAAGGCTTGGGAACCTCAAATTACTGTGGGTTCAACCATCACATGGAGCAGGCACTGGTAAAAAGTGTCTTTCTAAGTGCTGAAACACTGCCTCCAGGACACTTTGAGACTCACAGTTATGAACAGCATTACACTTGGGGCAAAGAAAAAAAAGAAAAGAAAAAGAAAAGATGAAGCAAAAAAAAAAAAAAAGCCACTGCCTGGCTGGTTTCACACCAGTGAAGGGAGCTGGTAGAGTGGACTTTGAAATCCTCTCCTCAAAACCAGAATAAAACTCCTTCATTCTGCAGCCTGTTCTTAGCAGTTCTACACTGCTAAGAGTAATCATCCTAGGGCTACACATTACTACACAATTAGCTACAACAGGGAGGAAGGAAATAGAAGCAAAAGCAAATTCAGAGAATATTATTATTCAGTGTCCAGCCTAGAAAATACACAACAAATATTAGAATGAATTCAGCGGTGATGTCCAGCATCATTAGCAATCAGAAGGACCTGGAATAAAACTGTAATTAGACTTCACCAAGAGGAAGGGGAGGGAGAGAACAGCAGATTAAATTGTAGAGGCAAACGCATTTGGAATAAATAGAGGACAGACACAGATCATACAGAGTTACAAAAAGTGCCTTTGCAGCCTGATGCGACCTTAGCAAACAGTAAACTTGCAGGATCAAAGAACAGAGTAGAAGACAACAGACCCAATCCTTCTGCCCCTGTCCATGTGCACAGTCCTGCTGAAGGCAACAGCACTGTTCACATGTGTTCAATAGCACGGTTCTCTTTTATTTCCTCTCAAATGCATAGTTTAGGAATTATTAAGGATTTCAACAGTAATTTAAACGACTCAAAAAACCCCAGAGTCTGGTTTTGGGCAGCTACAAATATAAAGATCCAAAACATGTTGTTTGGGTTTTGCCCATGAAAATGATGACTTTTAATGATTTTTAAGTCTGTGGGTTTTTTTGCTGTGATTGGCATCATACTGCAAAGCATGTTTTTGGTGTAACCAAATTCACAATTTCTTTTTACTGAGCAGCTTCTTTCGTAGAGCCCAATAGTCTTTGCTGCTGGTAAAAACAGCATTTGCTGTTGATACAAAACCCAGGTGACAAGCAGCATCAAATCCTGTCCTCAGATGACCACCAAAGTCAGTAAATTAAATATTGCTCCCAGCTGTAGTAATACAGCCTCACTGGATGCAATGACACTGCACTGACAGAGTTGGCACATCTCAGGAGAGATTCAGGCCTGGAAAGAAAAGGTCCCTTTTTCATTGCCATCAAAAAATAGCTGCTTTGGACCTTTGTGACACCATGGTGTGTCTGGAGTCACTCTGCTAACTTCAGTAGTGTTGCTTCAGATTTACGTAGGAAGCTCTTTCTCCTAGGATGCTCTGCTGAATCTCATCAGCCAGTTCCTTGCTTGAGAGTCATGGACTTGTCTGCTCTGGAAGCCCAGAAAGAGCATTATCATGGCTGTAAGGTGAACTCAGAGAGCTCTTCCTCCTGTAGGAGCCTTCCAGAGAGGAACCATGGATATGAATGCAGTTTTACTCAACCCCACATCCAATATACCAGTGTTGAATTAAGGAAACACATGAATTTTAAAACCTTCCTTTCCTCCTCACCTGCTCCCTCTGTGTTTCAAACAGAAGGGTGAAAAACAGGAAGATATTATTTACAGTAAGAGAGCTCAAAGAAACAGAGAACACAGATGCTTCATTTGTGTGGAAAGGTAATGGGATCCTTCCTTGAAAAGCCAACCACCCTCCTTAGAGACATTTACCTATGAATGGCCATGTGGTTACTTAGCTTTGGCTCAGACCTCATAATCTTGTCAGGAGTTATGAGTACATATCAGGAGTGAGCTACACCCCTTTGGGACTTGCCTCCTGTGACCTCAAAGGACCTCTTCAAGCCACATTCCTCACTGGAGTGTACCAGGGTGGCTAATGAAAGACAAGCTGAATGAAGAAAGAGCTTTCACTCTAATAAAGAGGTTGTATTTCCAAAATATTTTTCCCACCAGAAAGTTCTGTATACTTTTCCCAGGAGGGTGGAGGTCTGACTGGAAATGAATTGATGGCACTGTTTGTTTTTGCAGTACAGGAATTTAGAGTGTAATACCATATTTTACCCTTAAAGGGAGATGCTTGACCCTGATTTAGCTGTATAATTGCATGCCACATAATGGCATCCTCAGGGGTTTATTGGTAAATGGTAGTCACCCTCTCTTGTGGGATGTCTTTGGAGATCCATGAAGCTTTTGGGGAGAAAAGAGGACAGAGAGAGACCAGGAGGATTGGATTGAATATTCAGAAAGCATGAAATAGCCCCACCAGAAGAGCATATTTTTTCCCCACTTTTTTTTCCCCCCAAAGGTAGCAAATGATAGTGTATCACCATATGATCAATAAATTAATGAAAGACTGAGCATAAATATGCAGTAGCTGACTGGAATGGAATCTCATTTGTGCAAGAGGAGCAGACATTGTAACATTTCAGAATGAGTATGCCAATCATTTTTAGGTCTCCTAGTTGCTGAGATTATCTATTAAAGAAGCTAGGGTTTATTTTGGTACTTACAGAGGCATTGAAATCTCTGGACACCATTTCTGTTATTTTTTTTGTGAATATGAGATCCTAAATCTAGTATCTAAGAAGCCTCAACAATAGCAGGGAAAATTGCCCACTGGAGTCTACCTGAAGCTCAGAGTCACCTGGGGCCCATAATAAGAGTATGTGGTAGCTGAAGTGCTGTGCATCCACACTGAAGCAGAGAAATCCTCAGGGGAACGGTGCTGTTGAGTCATGGTATCAGTTGGTTTTGAGCATCCAGCCTGTGGGATCTGCAGGGCCACTTGTGTGTTAACTGATGTGTAGTTATTTATCTGCTTAGTCCCAGGTTTTCATTTCTGTCTCTTACGAGGTGGCTGCCAAAATTTAACAAAACCCTCTGAGAAAAAAGTCTCTAAAGATGAAGGGCACAGCAAGGTCAAGGCTATTCACTGGGTGGGATCTGAATGTGGGTCAGATGGTCCCCAGTGGAAGATGATGTTGCAATCTTATAGGAAAAAAGGGAAAGACATGCATGCATGTATGTATTTATGATACAGAAATGAAGCATTGAGGAGGAGAAACTAAGACATACAGAAAATTATGCCACCTAAAAGGAAAGCAAACTACAGGAGAACCTTGCTACCACTTATCTGAAATAACCCTGCATGCTAAAACAACAAAAAGAAACATCAGTCTTAATCAGATGGAAAAAGTACATAGGAAGGAGAGGAAGGGGCTGATACCCTGGTATACCATGTGATTTCCTAGTGAAGTTTTCCTTCTGATTGCAAAGGGCACCAAAGCAGACTTTGCTGGTGATTTGCAAAATGACATGAACTGCTAGTTTGGTTGATGGTTGGTTAGTATGTGAATTTGTATCTGAAAATGCTGCAGGCTCTTTGAAGCTGTGAGAGTCAGTTCTCAGACTTCATTAAAACAGGCTTTTCCTGAAAGTATTTTTGCAAAAGAGGCACTTTCATCACAAAACAGTATAGAATCAAGTGACATTTACACACTACCATGACTCTTGGCACAACCTCTCACAGCAGACTTAAG